TGCAGTTTGTAGGCTTTCATAACTGGTTTGTGGAAAGAATGTGAAAGGGTTTGTAGCTGTGGCTAAAGAAGCCTCAGAAAGCTGTGAGTAGAGATTTCTGAACATTTCTGGCAGGAGTATGAAAGCAGGAGGCTGGGAGGAACTCAAGAGAGTACAGGCAGTGGTCTTCAGTTCTGATGCTTTTCAAAAGTCTGACCTGAGACTCAAAGCAAACTTACATAAGTCCAGTGTGCAATGCACATTCCAGCAGACAGCAAGGGAGCTGACTTTCCTTTCTGTTGTAGTGTGGGACACTCTGATGAAAAGCAGCTTAGTGGAGGGAAGGGTCTATCTGGATTCCATGTGCCAGTGCATCACTGAAGGACGTCGTGCTTAAGAACTCATCCAAGGATTTGAAGCAAAAAACACGGAGGAATGCTGCTTGCCGGCTCACCCACTGGCTGGTTCCAGCCTCAAACCTAGCTAACTTTCTTAGATAACCCATTGCCAACCCATTACTTCTTGCCTAGAAAGGTATCACCCACAACTAACTGGGTCCTCCTAAATCAGTTAATAATCAGGGCAGTCACCTCAGAGGCATGCCTTTGGAGCAGCCCGATAAAGACAATTATTCGATTTAAACGTTTTCATGTAATTTTAGGCTGTGTCAAGGTTAACGCTACATGAGATAAAGTGATAGCAAGGAAAGATCCAACTAAAGTAAGACTGAAACACAGCTCCATGTTCTGTCCCTACAGCTTCTGATCATCAGACTTTAACAGGGTAGCTTCCCCCAAGTAAAGATACTTCTGCAACAGCATGTAGGGCTTCATTCTTGAATCGATTCCTTCAGTAACACAAGTTCGACATGATAAACATATCAGGTTTATGGCATCTCCCACATCATCTGGTCTCCTTTGTAACTTGGGGCTTTACAAACCACTGAAGAGCTTACTGCAGCGAACCTGACCCTTTTGCACACTGCCTAGCCTCAGTGGCTTTCTGGAACCTTTGTGCAAGGCTGTGTGTCTGCTGTACTCAGCTTTGTATCGTGCATGCCTGTAAAACCTGGAATCGATTAGGCAATTACAGGTTTTGTTGTCAGCCTGAGATGTGGTCTGACCTCAATGGCCTGTAGCTGAAGCACCCTCAGAGTGCTTGTGTAACTCAAAGTGTGAAAACATTAATTAGAAATATCTGGAACATTTCCCTGTTAAGGGACTATCTTTTCAAAGGAAAGTTTTTGAAATTGGTTCACATTATTATACCCTGGTCCTGTTGATTAGTAGGGTCTTGCTCTAAAGACATCTCTCTTGTTGTTTTAATAAGGACTTCAGAGGTTGCTCTTTAACCTTCGCAGCAATGACAGCCCTTGCTGTACAACTTTAACCCAATTAACCTCCTTTCCTCAACAAACTATTTTGACATCTCTCTTTTCTATTACAGTAAGCCTAGAGAAGTGAACAGGAAGCTTGCCACAGAACTGTATGTTCCACTGTCTTGAGTTTTCCTTTGCCAACGAAGCAATGCATGAAGTACTTATGTCCAGGCCTACCCACAGTGAGGATCTACTGGGAGTGTAGAATCACTCTTTGCTGAGGACATATGGCTGCTGATAGGTTTCCCATGTTCCACTAGAGGGCCCCACACTCACTCGCATATGGACACACTAGCTGGATTTAGTGGGTTATTATTTTTTTTAAAAAAAAAAAGACAAAGTTGAGAGGATGTTAGGGAGATATATGGTAATGGTGAATAGATACAACCATATTTTATCATATTTTGCTATATCACTTATGATATATTATATTTTATTGTATATATATATATGAAATTATGAGATATAAAACTTTTTTAAGTCAAAGAATTGCTTTTAGCCATAACAGAACAATGGGTTAGATATACACTAAAAAAATTTTTAAAGTTTTGTTAAGATAAAAGAAAACATGGTTTCCAATATTGGATAACAGGCAGCATGGGGTAGATCCTTCTGAGATGGAAAGCAAGGGAGATAAGTCCGAGCCCCATGACTGCCCCACTTGCCTGGTCAGAGCTTCTAGGCAGCAGCACAAGAGAGGAAATCTGACCACAGGTGGAGGTCCCTCCTAGTTGAGAAGACCTTGTCTGGAGATGGGCAAGCTAGGCTAATGGGATTTGAGGTCAGAGAGCAGAAAGCTGCACAGAGGGAGGCTGAGAAGATGGAGAGGGTCTTCACAGTCTCTCCCTGAGTGACCAACAGCTAATAAAGCCAGCGGTTTAATCAGACTGTGAGATGGAAAGTCCTCGGAAGCAGTACAGCACTGTACCCAGCAGAGGTACCCACAGGCTCTGCCAGAGCAGAGGGCCATGTTAGCACAATCAATATTATCAGATGTGAGCTGAGGTAGAGTTCAGTAGGACAGCAATAGCCTATCCATAAAGCCCTGGGCTTATCTCCAGTACTGCAACAACAAAACAACAGGAGATGAGAAGCAGCAGGTCTGGATGAACGCAGCAGTATAACACACAGCAGAAGATAACGTCCTTAAGGACATGACAACGGAAACCACCCAGAACGAAGCTTAGAGAAAAAGAAGAGCATCAACGAGTCGTGGAGAGTCACAGCATTCTGGTATGTATACAAAGGTTAGAAAAGAAGAAAATGAGAAATTTTTTTGAAGAAAACAGTGGCTGAAAAATCTGAACCCATGAAACTAATGACCAGGAAGAAAACTCGGGAGCTATCTAATAATCAAGTAGTTCCAGGAACAAAGAAAAAACTTTCCTGAGTCAGAGAGGAAAGGGCATATAATATACACAGGAAAAGATAAGGAGGGGTAGCTTCTTGTCAGAAGATAAACAGTCCCCAACCTATAGAATACCCCCAGCAAAGGCAAACTCCAGGCTGTGGAGATGGCTCAACTGTCAAACTGGAGAATCCCTGAAGCAGGCTGGCTGGCTGCCAAGATCAGACATATTGGTAAACTCTGGGCTTGATTAAAATCCTCCTTCAAAAACTGAGGCAGAAGAGTTACCACAGAAGATTCCTGATAACACAGCCAGATGCACATGTGTTCCCATACCTATGGTAATGCATGCATAACACATACATGTGCACAAAAAGACAAAAAAGGTAGGCAAAATGTTTCTTTTCAGACCTACAAATGCAGGTTAAATTCACCACAAAGTATTATTAAAGTATAAGGAAAAAAGTAAAGACATTTTTCTCTACAAATTCTGCAAAGTACCTTTTTAAACAAAATACAAGAGGAAAATCTCTAACATTAAGCAAAATAAACTGAAGATAGAATTACAGGATTAAGGTCAAACAGTAAGAGGAAAAGTCATTAAATCTTGATAGTTCTAGTAACTATTACTTTTTAAAAGATTCGTTAACTTTTATTTTAAATTATGAGTATGTGTATCTGTCTGTCTATCTGTGGGTATTTACAAGTGAGTGCAGGTACTGACGAAGCCAGCCAGAGAAGGTGTCAGATCCCCCGGAGGTGTAGTTACAGGTGGTTGTAAGCCCCTTGATGTGGGTGCTGAGAACCTAACTCAGAGCCTCTGCAAGAGCAGCAAGCACTCTAAACTGCTAAGCCATCTCCAGTTCCCCGTAACTGTTGTAAATAATAACCTACAACAAGAGTTGGGAAAGGTGGTGCATGCCTATAATCCCAACACTCAGGCATGAGGATCCTGCTACAGAGCAGTTTAAAAGCTCTTTAAAAAATATAAGCGATCAAAATTATTTCAAATGCTATTAACAGGGAGAAGACAAGAAATCATCTTGTCCCATCTAGAGAAGGGTCACAAATACAAATTCATTCCAGATATTAGGAAAGTAAATTGGAGAATATATGTTAAAAACATATAAAGAGTGGCCAATTGATAGAGGAAGGTCATTGGTTAATCAACAAACTGCCTTGGCCCATTTGATAGGCCATCCCTTAGGTGGGTGGAGTAGGCAGAACAGAATGCTGGGAGGAAGTGAGACAGACATGATGCCGCTCTTCTCCAGGGCAGACGCGATGGAGCAAGCTGCCAGGTGAGACATGCTGAATCTTTCCCAGTAAGACTGGTGCTACACAGATTACTAAATATGGGTTAGGCAAGATAAGTCAGCACTTCATGGTGCTACACACATTAATAGAAATGGGCCAAGCAGTGTTTATATGAATACAGTTTGTGTGTCATTATTTGGGGGCATAAGCTAGCCAGGCAGCCGGGAGCTGGGTGGCGGGAACGCAGCCCGCAGCTCCTTCAATAGCCAATCAATACTATTTTTCTATAATATAATCTCAAAGAGAAAAAAAATCTTATATTGAATAACTTAATAAACTTACAAAGTTACCAATTAGGAGTCTTTAATACATGTGTGGTAAGTCCAACAAAAATATCTTGAGCATATTCTACATGAACAGGAGGCTCCACAGGGAGATGAAGTGACAGAAGCAATTCTCAGTTGCTTTATGAACAAAAGATCAAAAGACATTTGCGGCACACTGCAACTATAACTACTGAGAATTTTAACTGCTTAGATGATTCCCTCAGACTTAATATGTTCTCAAATAAATGACTTAATTTTGTAATGGGCTTAACTGGATATTTTAAAGTAGTTTTATTTCTGATATGCTTTTCAACAAATACAGTTTCATATATCTGCACTCAAACATTTATCCCCCCTTTTTCTTCTAAAATTCTTTGCTACTTAAAAGTATTTTACAAAAAGCATTTGAAGGGGAAAAAAAATCTAGCAACTTAGGAACTTATTTCTCTACTAATAAATATCTGGATTATTATACACATTTCTACCCTTTTTAAAGAACAAAACGTAGAATAATAATGTAATTTCACCTTTGGCATGGAAGATACCAATTAACCCATAACAAAACAGGTTAGTAAGCAAAACATATGAAAATATAATCTGTACATTACTTTTGAACACCTTCAATATCTTTTATTAGACATAGACTGCTACATCATAATTCTTTTTACTTACAACACTGATATGTTCAACATCTGAAGAAAAGCTACCATACCACATGTCTTTCGGCCCGGGCTTTGTTCTGCATGGCTTCTCGTTTACGCTGCAGGAACTCTTCCACTCGCTTAGCTCTTTCTAAGCCTAGCTGCCCTTTATGCCTGTTTTGGACAAAGCACAGAGTCAACCATTTTGAGCGTTCATTTCCAAATTAAAATTATACTTATTATTTGCTTTTTTCCTTGTAGAACATGAAAGCAGAAACAAACACTTTCTTTGTAAAGAAAAGTGTGTATGTGTGTGTGTTGGTCTATTGTCTTAATTGCATCATTTACTACTTTTAAAAAGTAACAGCAGTTACTGGCTTTAATTTTTTCACATTTTAATATTTGGCATCTTTTGCTGACAATTAAGAAAAATGTAAACACATTGTGTAAAGACTGCAAATTAAAAAGTGATAAATATTTACTGAATACCTACTATGTGCTGTTCAGTTATCGTGATAAACATGGCAGGTAGAAACAAACACGCAAGCACACAATCCAGTGCCAGTAATTGCGAAATTCATAGCGACATCAAGGGTGGTTAAATGTGGAGAAGAGTTAGAAAGACAAACGAGCTATTGTCTAGGTTCTACTTAGACTGTGGCTAATACGGCATAAAAACCTTCCTGTAGCTTTTTTGTTAGGGAAAATGTTATGCTCTGAAAAAATAAAGTCCGGAAATAATGTCCTGTCTGCTAGTGTTCCCAGTAACATTTTAAAACGTCTAATTTTCATTCTACAAATAATCATTTCTTCAACTTTTTTTTTAAATCAACAACTTTTTACAAAATACCACATAAAAATATTTTAAATAAGAAATTTAGCTGTAAAAACTTAAAATCTGTGGCTGCTACTTTTACAGAAAACCTAAATTCCATTCCCAGCCTCTATGTGAGATGGCTTATAATCACCAGTAATTCCATCTCCAGGGGGTCTAATACTTATGGCTTCCACAGGCACCTACATTTAAAAATAAATCTTTGAAAAAAAACCTCTAAAATGTACTGTATTACATCCCCATGAGTGATGGCAGTCTAAAGTCCTTTACCTATTATTTAAAAGAAATTCTCTAAACTTCCATCACAGGAATTTTGTAGGTTAGGTAACATCTATAACTGCTTTAAGAGCCAGTTACTATGATGTTCAGCTATTCCTTCCAGATGGTTACTGTAGTTCCACATGACATTTCTGAAATCCAAAGCTATGTGAGCTTGAGTAGGTTTGTAATAACAAGAGATTAGTTCATGCCTCTGAAGGACACATATGCTATCCTCTCTCAGACATATATAATGCACTATAAAACTGAGATCAATTAGGGGCATCTGGTCTGAATTCAGCATGTCTCTGCATGTATCCAGGTAAGCTGGCATCCTGCTCTGCTACTTCCCTGTTTACACAAGGCTGAGCTCAAAGAGGGTAGATGGAGTATCATGCGGGGACACATCATCTGTGGGTCTTGGAAGCATAGTCCACCACCTGCAATTAGATAAAGCCTCCAATCTCTCTGCTTTGCATCACGATGGCCTTGACTTCAACATTCACAGAAGTAAAGCGTGTTTCTCATTCCAAGACATGGTCTGTGTAGCGTTTGACAGTATAACACGCCAACTAGCATACCCTACTAGAATTACTGCACAGTACGTCAGAACATGATCATATGGACAGCAGCCTTGATTTATAGATTTGCACACTGCTTATGTATACATGACACTTTATATTTAAAAGTGTAGCTTCACTCAACTGCTATTTCCTCAGTTGGTTTAAATAAGCTGGTTTATATGACTGTCTATTTTCAAACACACACTTAAAATCTTTAATGATTATTTAAACATAATTTCTCTTCTCTTCTGATTTATTAAACAAAGAATTGCTAAGTGTCAACTATTTGTCATATCAACCTCTGAAGATGTAACGATGACCGTGCTGGCTGCTTCTATAGCAACTTGACACAGGCTAGAACCATCACAGAGGGAGCTTCAGTTGAGAAAATGCCTCTATAGGATCAGGCTGCAAGGCATTTTCCTAATTAGTGATTGACGGGGGAGGGCCCAACCCCTTGTGAGTGGTGCCATCCCTGGGCAGGCAGTCCTGGGTTCTATAAAAAAGCAGGTTGAGCAAGCTGGTAAGCAGCACCCCTCTATGGCCTCTGCACCAGCTCCTGCCCCAGGTTCCTGCCCTGATTGAGCTCCTCTCCTGACTTCCTTTGATGAAGAGCAGTGATGTGGAAGTGTTAAGATGAACAAGCGCTCTCCTCCCCAAGCTGCTTTGGTCATAGTGTTTATTACGGTGACAGTCGCCCTGACTACCACAATGTCTAAAACAGAGTTCCAGAAAACAAAGTTTCCTGATGAAAATCACAGTTTGAGTAATTCTGTAACTTATGTTAATAATAATCTATGTTAATTAATAATCTAAATAATCTATAACACACATTCTTATGTATTAACGCTCAGAATCTTTATTCTTTAAAGAAGTAAAAGTGTTAAACTGTGGGCACAAACTATCTATTGCAGAAGGCTCATGGGGATAAGGAGAAAAGAATTTACTTATTCATTCTCTTCACTAAACTCTAGTAAGAATTCAGATGAAGTGGCCAGGCGCAGTGGCACATGCCTTTAAAACCAGCACTCAGGAAGCAGAGGCAGGCCGATCTCTGTTGAGTTCCCAGACAGTCAGGACTATGCAGAGGCCCTGCGTGGTGATGTGAATGAAAACGGCCCCCACAGTTTCAAAGAGAGTGAGTAGGACTATTTGACAGGATTAAGACCGGGGCCTTGTTGGAGGAAGTGTGTCACTTGGGTGGGCTGTGGGGTTTCAGAAGTCCAAGTCAGGACAGTGTCTCCCTCTCTTCCTGCTGCCTGTGGATCCATATGTAGACCGCTCAGCTTCCTTCTCTAGCACCATGTCTGCCTGCACGCCACCATGCTTCCCATCATGATGATAATGGACTAAACCTCTGAAACTGTAAACCAGCCCCAATAAAATGTTTTCCTTTATAAGAGCTGGTGTGGTCATAGTGTCTCTTCATAGCAATAGAACAGTGACAAAGACACCCTGTATCAAAACAAAAACTAAACAAACACCAAAAAAAAATAGAAAGAAAGGAATTCAGATGCAAAGATATTGTATAGCACTTAGTATCAGGAATTGTCCTATATTACCAACAGTAGAACTGTATGTAACGACTGAGAGATATATAGGAGGAAACTAGAGACTAGATAACAACATACAAAGATGTTAAAATGAGCTAAGAATTGTGGCAGAAAGGGATAAGGACATCAACACAGCTATGGTGTTGAAAGAGAAAAACTGTGGTGTTCTTCATTGGGAAAGTTATTCTAAGACAAGCCTTTCATTTCCTGTAGCAAAAAAGAAAGGGGGTGGGTAATTTTCTTTCCTTTTCTTCTTATAAATACAAGAAGTAGCAGCAGCAAGATAGTGGTGGGAACACCATACATTATAATCATGACTCAAATTTATTACTACAAGAGGAATTTAAAATTTTTGAAGGATTACAAATACTTCAAGAGGTGAAAAAGCATAAAGTAGGCAATAGTCTAGGTAACAAATGATTCACTGCTTTCAGACACAATAGTCCAGTGACAGAAAGATAACAGGGAACAGAAAACAAGAGTATTCACTAAGCTTCCTTTCTACTTAAAGGTACCTAGTGGACTGGAATCAGGAGAGGGGGTAGAAAAGTAAAGCAGTTTAAAAACACAAATGTAAAGAGGCACCAAATCACTTCTTAAAAGGCAGTTGTACTCTACTTGAGGTCCCAATAGTCAAGAGGCTAATAGGTATGTCATTAAGACATAGATGTAAGAACAGTCATACTAGCCTAGTCATACTAGGAAGGCAGAGAAAAATAACACCATAAAGTGCAAGCAAACATGAAGAATTCAGTTTCAACTCCTTTGTTTTTACTAATAGATAAGTTATGGGACTTTCAAAAACTGAATTATATATTGCCTCAATTTTTTAATCTGTAAAGTAGCAAGAATACTACTATCTGTTTCACAGTGTTGGTAATAACTAAATTACTAATATGGTCAATCATCATGATTGATAGTTTATGTTCTACAAGGTCACTACTAAAACTGAATTAATGAATACTGAGCCACTGATGCTAAGGAAAATACAATTAAATTCCTGCAAGTCTGTCACATTTGTCAGCAGAATAATTTATAACCTTGTTTTCTGTGTTCCTGTTTAAAGAAAATTTACTATATAAAGTTAATTCTTTATAATTTAACTCAGGAGCAGATATCACTATAACAAACATATGAATGAAGTTTACCTAAAATGTATTTATCGGCTGAGAGCTAGCTCTCTAGCCCTCAAAAGTATAATCTATAGTCTAATGCAGTGGTTCTCAACCTCTGAGTTGAGACCCCTATGATAGTGGGGGGGTTGACAGGTCCTTTAACAGGGGGTACACATCAGATATCCTGCATATCAGATGTTTACTTTATGATTCATAACAGTAGCAATATTACAATTATGAAGTAGCAATGAAAATAGTTTTATAAGATTGGGGATCACCACAACATGAGAAACTGTATTAAATAAAGGGTCACAGCATTAGGAAGGTTGAGAACCACTGCTCTAAGATGATAAGGTCCAACTTTTTCCACAGTTTAATATTCAAAATATATAGGCTAATATATTTTTTAAAGTCAGCTTCTATGCCAAAATTATCCTCAATTAAATTTCACGTTTAATTTTTATTTCCTAGTTTACAGAACTAGTTACCTAACCTACACAAAGGCCATAATAATAACTAGGTTCTAAGTATTCAAAGTTAACAGAAGCAAGGTATTCTAGGCAAAAGAAGACAGAAACAGTTAACAAACATAAGAAAAGCTTGTCTTCTCCTAAAAGCATATTTTAATAGAAAAAGTACATAACATGCAACAACAGATGACAATGTAAACAGAAGCATAAACTTTCAAGAAAAAAATGCAAATAGAAGGGCCAAACCCAAATACACTCTAGTGGAAATGCAGACTGCCTCGCTGGGCTCATTACTGGATTGGACAAGGCTAAACAAAGAGTCTCTCTAATCTTGAGGGTATAGTAAAAAAGCATTTATAAACTGAGAAAAGAAAAGGGATACAAACACAGAGAGAACACAAGAACAGTGGAAAATTACAAAAGGTGCAACATGCATGCTGTGGAACATTAGACAGACATTGCTTAAAACAATAACGCCTCTGAAGACCCTGGATTCATGTCAAACATCACACCAAAGATCCGGGGAACTGAGAACAAGCTGCAGCAAATTCCCACATAAACAATCAGGAAAATCCTGCCATAGCCAAGCTTTGGGAAATCAAAGATAAAGTCTTAAAAGAGGAAAACACAAACATACAGAAGAGCATCTAAGAATTACATTCAACTATTCCCCCAAAGAAGGCAAAGAATAAAGTGAGGAAAATATTCAACTGCGGAAAGAAAAAAAATACCCACTTAACATCTAAACTCTAAATATTATTGTAACAAGAAGTGAGCTAAAGACTTTCTCGGACAAAACCTGAAGAAAGCTGTTGTCATTACAGCTGCTTTACAAGAAATGTTAAACCAAGTTCTTCTGAGAGAAGTAAAGAAGCAGCATGCAGGAAGGAAGAAGTGAAGATGAGAAGTTGTTGTACTTCTTCCTACCAGATACCAGCTTGTCTATAGTAACAGCAATGAAGCGGTAGCTTATTACATGTCTATGCATATCCATGCACACTGAGATGTAAGTGGCATAAATGACAGTAATAATATAACAGACAGCAGGGAGGAATTAGAAGCATTCTGAGGTTATAATGTATAAACCTAATGTAAAAGAGAACTTGGGTTTGTCTTACTTGTGTATTGCAAAATCTAAGACAACCTCTAAGGAAAAGTTTACAAAGGAAGCCTGTAATTGAAATACTAAGAATGGAATGGAATCACAAAAATATGCCCAGTTTAAACCATAAAAAATCAGACAAAGTATAGAACTCAAAAATAAGGAAGAAAGGAACATGGCACGAATGAAAAAACATGATGTGACACACACTAACCAGCATACATCAGCAATCCCCTTAGATACCAGTGACACACACTAACCAGAATACATCAACAATCCCCTTAAATACCAGTGACACACACTAACCAGCATACATCAGCAATCCCTTTAAATACCAGTGACACACACTAACCAGCATACATCAACAATCCCCTTAAATACCAGTGACACACACTAACCAGAATACATCAGCAATCCCCTTAGATACCAGTGACACACACTAACCAGAATACATCAAAAATCCCTTTAAATACCAGTGACACACACTAACCAGCATACATCAACAATCCCTTTAAATATCAGTGACACACACTAAACAGAATACATCAACAATCCCTTTAAATACCAGTGACACACACTAAACAGAATACATCAACAATCCCTTTAAATACCAGTGACAGAGACTGTCGTCAGGAGTGGAGGTGTCAAAAGAAAGCCCAATTACTTACTGTAAAAAATCCACCTTAAATATGAGGTTATAACCAAGAAACAAATCAAAGACTTTGTCTTTAACACTTTAAAATCACAAGAAAAGGACAGGGTTTCTCTGTGGCTTTGGAGCCTGTCCTGGAACTAGCTCTTGTAGACCAAGTTGGCCTCAAACTCATCGAGATCTGCCTGCCTCTGCCTCCCGAGTGCTGGGATTAAAGGCGTGCGCCACCACCGCCATGCTCAAAAGGATAACTAAAAATTCATCATGTGACCTGCTCTTCTGTAACTCATCAGAAAGTTTTATAGAATGGGAATTTCTAAGCAAACACATATGCATACTTGAAGAAAAAAAATTACACAAAGTATAGCCATTCCCAATTATCATCAAGTTAATTCAATGGAAAAAATCTGATGAAAAGGATCATGAAGAGATATAAATGGAGATGAATGTGAAGAGGAAATGTCTTAAGACAATAAAGAGAAGGTAGGAATGAGGAAAAGACAAAAAATAGATATGCTTTGGAATTTTTTTTTTTTTTTTTTTTGGATTTTCGAGACAGGGTTTCTTCGTAGCTTTTTGGTTCCTGTCCTGGAACTAGCTGACATCAACCAGGCTGACCTCGAACTCACAGAGATCCGCCTGCCTCTGCCTCCCGAGTGCTGGGATTTAAAGGCATGCGCCACCACCGCCCAGCTATGCTTTGGAGTTTTATGAAAAGTGTAATTCTATTTAAATTTATGCTGTAATTTATTCAAAGCAAGTGGATGAAATTATTATAACCATATGCTGGCAGAAAGTTATCACATGCTCCTTTGAACAGTATGTCCTATCTAAACATTAAAATAAGCCACAATAATCAGGCCAACGTGAACACATTTGTCATAATGTAATCAAGGGTCAAATTTGCACCTGAAGATTTATAATATCTAGGGAATAAAAAATGTTCTGTGTAAACACTGGAGAAAACACCAAGTGTAGATATGATAAAAGACAGAATTACACACAGGATGAATGCATGGATCATCACAATCCGATCTGTTTGCACTGGCTTGTTTAGGCATGGCCTTCAATTTTTTCAAAGCTTCTCTATGACATCAGCATCGGGGAAATGGTGATGACCTGCAGCCCCATTGGGAAACCCTGGATGAAGTTCAAGTGGAACTCCTCTGGCGATAAATACTCACAACAACTTTCACTACTTGCTCTGAAGCACAGCACCGCAGCTTCATGAGAGCACCTTTCAGCAGAGCCGTACCTTTCTGGAAGCCGGCGCCCGTATATGTCTCCTTTCCATCGCGCTTCATTATCTTCCGCTCTCAGTCGCTGCATTTGATCAAAAATGGCATGGTAATGTTCATACTGCCCTCGAGAAGAACAAGGTGATGGAGAGACAGCCCCTCCACTGCCAAAAGAGGGAGTCTGGGGATTAAACAAAGAATTCTTACGTGCCATGTTTATCTCGTAGGGCCTGAGAGGCCTGAGCCATCCTTAAAAGAGAAAGTCAATTTCTATGCTTAGCTTTAAAAATAGTAATTAACTAGTTTTAACATATTAATAAAAACACAGCCAAAAGTAAAATATTTTCCTACATAAGCAATCAGTATTCTAGAAGTCTTGCTACTAACAGTAAAGAATAACAATGTGGCAAATAAAAACATTAAGATGTCAGTAAATTCATAGAAATATGGAAAAATCTAAATTATGAAGCTTTGAACTGTTTACATCCTACATTTTACAATTCAGTTCTATGAAGCTTGATATGCGGTTTAGAAGTCAAGAAGAATTTGATTGTCACAGTTAAAAATCTTATTTAACAAACTGTGACTTTTGATATACTCCAAATCTATTCTTCTATTCAAGTAGATACGAAGCTGAATACATGACTTAAATATATTTTATATGCATACAGAACAGGAAAAATATATCTACTCTTAGTACTTTTCAAACAAGTTGAAAAAAAAAACCACAAAGTAAAGCAGCATTCCAGTCTTATGGTGAATGAACAAAGGAGTGACGTAGTTACACCCTGAAGTAAGGAGATTCACAAACTAGAAAGAAAATGGTCACAGGTAAAAATCTATTTTAAAAGTCTTGGAGAAAGATTATTTAACCTAGTTTTGATAATAAGGTTAAAAAAAACCCAGAAGAGTCAAGGTGACTAAAATAAAGTATGCATGTGTTTGTGTGCATGCTGCACTGGGGAGAGGAAGGAAGTAGATCACAACACAGCACGGAAGATAAGCAGAGCATTAGACACTGAAAAAGGCAGGCACCATTTCTAAACTTTCCAGTGAACGGAGCATTTTAATATCATTAAGTCAATCCTACACACATAAGCAGAAATGAGAGACAAAAGCAGAAAAACTGGTTAGCGGGCTGCTGTTCAACAGTAAGGCAAGAAAACAAGAAAAGATGTCAATGAAAAGATAAATGCTGAGCCGGGCGGTGGTGGCGCACGCCTTTAATCCCAGCACTCGGGAGGCAGAGGCAGGCGGATCTCTGGGAGTTCGAGGCCAGCCTGGTCTACAAGAGCTAGTTCCAGGACAGGCACCAAAGCTACAGAGAAACCCTGTCTCAAAAAACCAAAAAAAAAAAAAAAAAAAAAAAAAAGAAAGAAAGAAAAGATAAATGCTGAACAGACTTGTCCATTTTTACAGAAATGAACAATGATAAAGGTAAAAATCTAAGGACTCAAGACAGAAGAACCCCTAGTAAAGAAAGCTGCTAGACACGGTTAAGAGATGAATGCAAATGAAGAGTGCAATACTATAGAAATTATTATTATTATTAGTAGTAGTAGTTTGTTTGTTTTTTGAGACAGGGTTTCTCTGTGTAGTTTTGGAGCCTGTCCTGGAACCTGCTCTGTAGACCAGGCTGGCCTCAAACTCACAGAGAACCGCCTGCCTCTGCCTCCTGAGTGCTGGAATTAAAGGCGTGCGTGACTGGCCAGTTACTAAAGAAATTTGGTGGAAGAAAAGAGAAAAATCAATGATCTCACATGTAGAGGTTAACAGTACTTAAGTCTAGAGAGAAAAGTTGAAGGGTTACCTTTCAAAAATATTCATCCCAGCACTCTCAAGGCTGAGGCAGGAGGTTCTCTGTGAGTTTGAGGCCAGTCTGGTCTACAAAGTAAGTTTTCAGATAGCCAGGGCTACACAGAAAAACCCTGCTTCAACCACGCCCTGCCAGCAAAAAAAAAAAAAGAGAACTAATATTAGAATCTAATAAAATAAGCTTCTGGGAAGTCCAATGAGAGGAGATTTGTCTTAACATCTTGATATTGTACATAAAAATTTATGAGAAAGTATATTTTAAAAACCAGTTCAAGAGAAGTTAATGAAAGACATTAAAATAACAAAATAAAAGTTGGTAGAAATCAGAAAGATAATTAAATGCAAAGTTCCATCACAAGTTCTTCTCATACATCCTCAAAATCTGTGCTCTAAGAGACTAGAGACATAGCTCAGGGAGTACGACGGCATGCTACTCTTCCAGAGGACCAGAGTTTGCATCTCATCACCGTATAAGGGGCTCAGAACCACATGTAACCCCAGCTCCAAAACATCTAACACCCTCTTTAGGTCTCCAGCCACAAACTCACCTCCTATATGCACATACACAGGTATGAAATTTTTTTAAAAAATGTTCACTGTAAGAGTCAGAATTCAGGCTGGAGAGATGGCTCAGAGGTTAAGAGCACTGACTGCTCTTCCAGAGTGTAATTCCCAGAAACCACGAGGTGGCTCACGAACATCTATAATGACATCTGGTGCCCTCTTCTAGTGTGCAGGCATACACGCAGACAGAACACTGTACTGTATACATACTAAATAAATCTTTTTATAAAAAGTCAGAATTCTGTTAAAAGGTGGTCACAGCTTCTACAAAACTTCTACAAAACACTCAGTTCAATGGTAAGATCTTGAGTAAAATCTTGACTTTCAATGAAACTAATGCATCTTTCTAATGAAGTGAAAGTAGGGAAACCTCTGCAGATGTCTACGAAATGTCAAAATACTGTGTTTAGATACTGGAGCAACACAATCTAAAAATCACCTTTACTGAGGCGCAGCTCATAAACAATAAATTTACCTATTACAAGCACAGGTTGATGAATGTCTTAAATATTTTAGTTTATGTTTGTACATTTGTGTGTCTATGTGCTATGGAGCATGTGCAGAGGTCAGAGGACAACACACGAGTCAGTTCTCTCCTTCCACTGTGTGGATCCTATGGCCCCAACTCACGTCACTGGGACGGGTGGTGAGCACCTTCACACACAGTTGGCTAAATCGATGAATGTGCTTACCATTACTGCAGGACAGAGCCCTCATGCTCCTGTAGTCACTGATCCAGTCTACTGCTATGGTGTAGATTTGCATGCAGATTCAACCTTAAATCTTCTTAAAGGCAACAATAATTCATTTTACTTTTCTAGTGCTAATTTTTTAAAAAGGTGTTTTAATTGAAATAGAACTACATCACTTCCCTCCTCTCCAGCCACGATTCCGCTCCAAAGTTGATGGCTTCTTTTTCTTTATTGTTGTGTGTGTGTGTGTGTACACGTGTGTGCGTACAGCTTCTGCTGTTTGTGTGCATATTGTTTCTGGGCTGACCTCTCTACATTGGACAATCAATAAGGGGGCTCATCTCTGGGAGGAACTAATTCTCTTTCTTCCAGCAGTCAATAGCTGCCTGTAATTCTATGTCTTGGGGTGAGACCCCGCAAAACTTCTCTCCTTCCACATTAATAAGTACATTGATATTGCCATTGTTCTGGCCTTATTTATACAGCCATTTCTAGGAGAGACAGTCTATCAAGAATCTTAATCCTCCTGCTTCTAATGATGTTCTCTAGTTGTGAGTTTAAGAACAAGACAAAACAAAACCAAGCAAACAAAACTACTCCCAGACCAAACAAACAAAAAAGCCAGAAGCAGCCAAGAAGTACTGGATTTTGCAATGTCCAATAAAGATAGTTATTTATACTATCAAGTATCACTGTCTGTACATAATAAAATTACTAATTTTGCATTATCTTAATTTTCAGTTTTAATTCATCTCTCCTTTGTGAATTTCCTTAGTTTGACTCACTTTACACTTTAACTCCAGGTCCTTAGCAACTATGCAGAAAGCAAACAGCCAGATAGAGTAAATATTTTAAACTTAGGAATAGGTACAGACAAGAACAGAGCTGACTTGTATTGTGGAAGAATTACAGAATTCTACAAAGTGAAATAAACATTATCAAAGACATAGTACCTAACTATTCACAAATGTTGCTACATTACCAAACAAGACATAAAATTCATCATCTTGCCAGGTGGTGGTGGTGTACTCCTTTAATCTCAGTACTCGGGAGTCAGAAGCAGGCAGATCTCAGTTCGAGGTCAGCCTGGTCTACAAAGTGAGTTGCAGGACAGCCAAAGATACACAGAGAAACCCTGTCTTGAGAAAACAAAAAGCAAACAAAAATTTATCATCTTATAAGAGCCACAGTGACGGGGCTGGAGAGATGACTCAGTGATTAAGAGCACTGACTGCTATTCCAGGGGACCCGGGTTCAATTCCCAGCACCCATATGACAGCTCATAACTGTCTGTAATTCCAGTTCCAGGGAACCTGACACCCATGGCAAAACATCAATGCATACAAAATAAAAATAAATAAAATTTAAAAAAAGGCACAATACCACATTATGAGAATGTTGCAGGCATTATTGGAACAGGGGCTCAGCTGGCTGAGGTGGAGGGGGAAATACTTCACTATGGTTTTGTTAATGCGTATGAAAAATGGGGCTGGAGAGTTCACTCAGCAATTAGAAAAACTTATTGCTCTTGCAAAAGTCCTGGGTTCGATGAAGTTCCCACATGGTGGCTCAAAACCAACTGTAACTCCAGTTCCAGAGGATGTGACACCTGCTTCAGATTTCAGTGGTCAACAGAATGCATGAGGTGCACATACGTAGTACATGCAGGCAAAACACTCTCACACATAAAAACAAAATACATCTAAAAAAATTGTACTTAAAGGAATAAGTAAGCAACCATCAAAATCTCAACACTGATGTTAAATTTGGTACAAAAAATATTGAATAAGAGTCCTGGACCTACAGTTAAATAAAAGTTAAGCTAATTTTTAACCAAGGACAAAATTCTGAATTATTTCTTATTGACCAGGAAGTAGTAAGGGCTACTCAGATAAAACTGAATTACTTAAAACACTATGTAATGTCTACTATAGCAGACATTGGGAAAAAAGATTTTTGAACTATTGATATGTGATGTGAAAACATCTCAAAAGAGAGAAAAACACAAGTTGGAAACAGTAACATATTCCTAGGTGAAACAAAAATAAAAACAAACAAAAAATGCATCTTTGTCCACATTATATCTTTGAGAAGAAACATCAATGGTAAG